TCATAAGTATCGCTAGTTATCAAATGTTTTCAAAAACCATAGCTTTATTTTAAATCCTAATTATCTCCGCCGTAAACTTGAAGAATATGGAATTCCACTTTAGGAGAATATAGAAAAGGCAAGAAAGTAAAATTAGTTTTGCTTTCTATACATTTTAAGCGAAAACACACATTTCTCTTTTTCTGTATCATTAAATAAGAATCTAACTTATTTTTAAAATTTACAAGATTAATTGCGATTTTATTTAGACGGTGAACATTTACACCTTGATTAGAATAACTATACAGCCCCTCATCAAATTATTAGACGCACTGTAAGATTCTAAGTAACACCTTAATTAGCAAGTGGTTATATACAGATTTATTGTTTTCACGACACTGAAACCAGTTTGCACTTGTTTACGTTCGTGTATCAATTGGGGTTAACATTGTAATGCAATACGTTAAAAATAAATACAAATACGAAGTATATAAAAATTCTCCTGAATAAAAACTCATTACATGTATGTTTAAGTACAAAAGTATTGCCTATAAACTCGTGCAAATCATATAATTATTAAAAAACTACAGTGCGTCTAATAATTTGATCTAATTATCTATATATATATTTCTCTTACACGGCGACAAGAAAAAGCCTCATTACAACTCCCCGAATGGCAACGCTAGAAAATCGACCAATGATTGCCGCTAAAAATGTCACATGTCAAATCTATCTGAGATGGCTCAACATGCAGCGCTTTTAAGAACGGAAACTGAAATAACCAGAGAGCATCAGCTGCGGCAATCTCATACTATTAAGCTAGGCAGAAGTGAGTAGTCTTTGTCGATAGATCTCTATTTTAGTATTTTGTCGAAAGCGCTTTTTTTCACGAATTTATATATTACGAATTTATTTGACGATTTTTGATTTATATCACGAATTTATTTGTTTTACTAGAATTTATTTGTTTATGCAGGTTTTTCCATTGCAATTCACTTATTTCAATTTTTAATAGACTTAATTATAGCCAAAATTTTAACCTTTTTAAAGAGATATCAGTTTTAGAAATTTTATCTTAAGATTTTATACTATAGCACATTTCTAATAGGTTTAACGAATTACATGTCATTTATTTGAATTCAAATTTATTTTAATGACTTAGTATTTACTAAAAAGATGTAATTATTTTTTAAAAAAAGTTGTATGGATTTGAATGATTGTTTGAATTCTTAGAATTTTGTGCATTTGCTATGTAGGGGAGAGGGGGGCACATGTGAACAGGGGGCACATGTGAACATGGTATGTTTTACCAATATGATTTGAAATAAAAAATCTTGAAAAATTTTCAATTGATGGCAGTACTAGTTCTACCTCTCTGCAAAACTTTCAGAACAATGAGACATTTTGCTGTTCTATTCTGACAATTTCTTTGTATCAGCTGGTGTTGTATATATTATAATCACTCGCTTCTTCAAGTGAAAGCATAGTATAAATCAACAAATATACTAAAATTAACTATTGCAGACCATTATATGAGCATTCAGGTAAGTTTATGACAATTACTTTTTTTTTTCTCAATTAAAAAATTTTTATTTTTCAAATTAACTTTAAAGAAGGATGATGGGGCACTTGTGAACAAAATATCTGGGCAGATTTGAACAGTTCACATGTGCCCCTACATAGTATTAATATTATTATCCTCATGATATTTTAAGTTTAAAAAATATCTATGCATTTAAAATTATTATTGTTTAATTTTCCATAATTAATTTATTAAATTTTTTTTAATTTATTTTTATTTTTATTAAATGGTTGATCGCGCATTGCACATTCTAACTGATACACTTGAGAAAGATAGAATTGCTAAAGCTACAAATGAAAAGATAGAGAAAATGAAAAAAAAAGCATGAAAGAGTATTAGAGAAGAAAGAAAAAGGCCCATTACAACTCCTGAGGAACATGAAGTTGCGAAAAACCCAACAGCGGAAAAATTACTGTACTGCTGAAAAATTATTTTCTTATTAAAAGTACTGTTGTACAATTTAGATTCACATAGTAAGCTACAACCCTTTCAGTATAATGCGTATCTAAATCTGTTATATTGAAGATTTTTTTCTTTGAAATATTATTATTGCTTTGTGTTTTTAATCTTGTTCATATGTGCCCCAGGCATGTTCACATGTGCCCCCAATAGGGGCACACGAGAACAATTGAAGTCATTTTTCTAAAATATCATAAAGTAAAGAAATATTTTATTGAAAAATCTCAAAAAATTCCATAAGACAAGGAAAAGACTATTTAAACATATGGACTTCTTTACTGTGAGAAAGGGATGATATTTTTCGAAAAATGAAGAAATAAAAAAATTTGTTCACGTGTGCCCCCTCTCCCCTACCTAAGTTAGTAGCGAGCTTGGTTTGCGAAGCAAACCATATAAGATTGCGTAACAATTTTCGGGGGTTGACGAGGTATGGCAGGGGGCGCAGTCCACTAGTTACAATATAATATTGTAATACCTGATATAATAAATATTCTATATTTATATAATATATCGTCTATGAGCAGTAGCGCATCGCGATCCCGAGTCACAGGTCCTGGGTTCGATCCTTGGGCCGGGCAAGGTTGACTCAGCCTTTCATCCCTCGGGGGACCGGGATAGCCTGGTCGGTAGGGAGCTGGGCCCATATCCAAGAGGTCGTGGGTTCGATCCTCGCCGGCCGAAGACTCCCCGTGTAGTAAATGGTGACTGATGCACGTTAAATCTGTCGAGTCTCAAAGTCCTCCATGTTCCCACAACAAATCAAAACCTCTGGGGGTACTATTCCAGGAGTTTCCTTGTCTTCTGGATTGGGTTCAAAATTACAAGGCTACGGAGTTGTAAGTAGTCGTAAACCCATGAAATTGGGTCGGCTGTTCAACTACGGTTATAAAATTAAATAAAAAATAAAACATTGAATTTATATCATCCATCGCCTAATTTCACCAATTGCTTCGCGAATGTAAACAAGTGCAAACCGGTTTCAGTCCCGTAAAAACGAAAACAAAAACGCTTTATAGTATACTATACTAATAATTAAGATTTTACATGGAATCTTATAGTGCGTCTAATAATTTGACCAGGGACTTTTTATTTTTGTACAAAGCTAAAGCAGCAGAACTTTTGAAACTTAATTTGTTAGGCTAAAATGCTTACAACGCCAAGTGATAATGCTGGCATGCAGACGATAATGCAAGATATAATAAATTTGAACTCTTAATCAATTTACAAACAAGAAGTTAAAGATCGGTTTGCTAATTATTGAATCGAAGATTATTTCGCTAAGAATAGTGCTTAGCTTGCTTTTGACTGGGAACTTTTCGATATAATCTGCCTTTTAACGGAATGATTTCTTGGATCCGAGATATTCGAGAACGCATTGTAGACGATCGGAACGATATTTGCACTTCTGCGGAATTTAGGTTTTATCACCCAAGGACTTTCTGTTCCCTTCATTAATGAGTGCACACTCGATAAAATTATACCTAAATCAATTTTCTACTTAGTTCTCAATTGATCAGATATTGGGGTTTAATTTTTACAATTAAGGAATTAGTTAAAGCCCTGAAGCGTCCACAAAATTGCCGACCCCTTATTTCTGAAGAGAAAAAAAAACCTATCATCGAAGTGTTATTTCGAATTTCCAGGTTTGGGAAAATAATTTCAAAAATGTTGGGGGGGGGGAGTATATAAGATAGACAGCTTATGAGCAGAAACTTTAGCTCAACTTCAACACGCCATTTTGCTTATAAACGATCAGGTGGACCTGACCGCATAGGTCACGTGTGTGAGTATTATGATCTTTTTCTTCTTGAAGTGCAAGTACCCAATTAACATGTAATAAGAATCAATGAAAATGATGTCTAAAAATCGTAACAAATATGCTCCTTTCTGTTCTCATTTAAAGAAACTGATGAAAGAATAATAAATATTGTTTCTTGCAGACGATTTTTTTCCGACAGGGAGGCAAAAATATAAATTCTTTTTTCTGGCTCTTGGTTCGTTAAGAGCATGACAGCATAACCGCCATTTTTAGTTTTGCAATCAGTTCCAATACTGTTGCAACGTCATAGAGTTGTTTCTTGAACGAATGTTCTTCTTATTTATTGAAATCTGTCGCCATATGACTATTGAACCATAACCTTTTTTAATAATTCCGTGATATATATATATCGTAAGGCTAGGCTGTAACCCTGTCCCTCCCTCGTAGGGGGCATCCAGGTTATACTTGGTGACTATCGTTACTGCAGTTCTCGAATCAGTCGGAGGACCCAGTGGTGCATGGACACGAGGTTCCATGGCCCCGAGTCACGCCCGACGAAGAGCAACACAATCGTTCGATGGACAGAGGAGGCCGAAAGGGACAATCCCATGGAGCTAGGAGTAGATGGAGGAGACACTAGCAGAAATTCATGAAGACGAAAGCTCGGCAATGTTAACCGCGAAATTAACCGTCGGCCATCTTACATACTTCAAAACATTGGCAGTTGTAGCTCGTTTATGCTTGAATTGTCGTATGTTCGGACAGTCATTATCATTTTTATTTTATTCGTTATTCGAGTAGTCTTACTTTGTCTTATTATTTTTTCTTGGACTTCTTATTATTTTAATTATATTATTTTAATTNAATACTGTGATAATATTTTATTAATCTGTAACATATTTTTCCTTTTTTTTAATAAACATTTTGACATATTTTTCTTTAAATTGATTTACTTTGTATGCAATTAAAAATGTCCTATTTAAGTATTCATAAAACTATCAAAGTATAAATCTTCATATGTATGGATTTATTTTTAGCAAGATAAATTTGTATAAATTTATGTATTTCACTTTCTGAAATCATTCTTTAACAATAACCATCTTTCAATATTGTGGCATTCAATTTATTTCTATATTCAGCTTGGAGTTAGCTCCATAGATGCAACACATTCATAACTACCTAATATTTTTTTTCTTGTCTTTTCTTAAAATAATTAGTTACCTGACTTTATGGACCTATTAATTAAAACTATCAGAGTAATATAAATTTTAAATTTCTAGATAATAAACTATTTTATCTTCTTGAAATTGTTTTGAAAAGTGCATTAGTGATTGTTAAATGAACTTGACCTAATATTAACTTTACCATGAATTCCATTTGTTTTAAAAATTCTGTCAAGTTGAAATGTTTTTTCTAAAAGTTAGAAATACGAAAATTCTAACGGCTGAATAAAAATGGAGAAAGCTTGGATGGATGGATCTCTTATTTAACTTAAAAGACTAAACTCGACACTTTAAATCAAATTAAGAACCCTTCAAAACAGCCCTCCAAGTTTCGTTAAAAAGCATGGATTAACTAGAAATAGAAAGATGTATGAGCGCACAACGACGCAGCAAGTAAGATGGCGGAGAACTCTCGCGGTTGCTTCAACTTGAAAGGAGTGGGCCAATGGGAGTGTCTTCTCCACTTACTCCTAGCTCCATGGACAATCCCGAGTCGGGTGCGGCGGTGCCATTCTCAGCTGCAGACGACTCACCAGGAGTGTCGCACTGAGAGACCGTCGCCACTCCACGACCCATCGAGGCATCCTCCGACTGGGAGATTCTGAAACCATTTTGAACGTTTATTAAAAATTTACAATCGAAATAATGACCGACAACCTGTGGGTCTTACAAATAAAATGAAAATTACAATTTGAAAATACAATTTGAAAGCACCCGGAAAGGGTGGAGGACGCCATAGCCAGCACACAAAAATTTGGGGAATAATCAGTATGGAATCTTTGTTCTTAGTACTGCAATCGCCCTTTGGTTGGATGGGCACGTTCTTTGTCTTGCTGGGTGATTAACATTTAGTTTTAAGCCGTATTTTTTGTTTGCGAAGTCGCAATTCAAACATTTACTTTTCTTTTTGCACTAGTTCATCTAATGCCCCTCTTCACCGCAGTTTGTGCAGTTTTCATTATTCAGACAGTCTTTAGCCATGTGCCCATATGTGTTGCACTTGTAAAACCTTAAAGGTCTTAAAGTATTCTTTGGCCCGATGGACGGACCAATTTTAAGTTTTGTCTTTCTCATAATTTTCTTGAAGACGCTAGGGTCTGTCTGGACAACCCAGTGTTTCCCTTGTTTGCCTTTGATGGAGAAACAAACTTCGAATTTCCCATCGACCATTTCATTGTTCTGATCTCCTAATTGTTTTTTTTTAGCTCTTCCTTACTAATTGGAATCCTTACTAATCTATATCTAATCTATCCTTCCTTACTAATCTATATCAAATAAGATGACTCTAGGGAGTCTCATGGGTGGGATTTGATATATATATATTAGATGATATATATCGTAAAAGATACACACGTCAAACAGAAATTTAATTCGTGCTAACTTTTAAAAGCTTTTAGATTATTTTGAAAACATGTTTGTAGAATTTGGTAACGAAATATATTTGGGCTCTTCATTTCATATGATAAAAGCTAATTGTGAAATAATTATGCCACCGTTTTTAACATTTTTAATAATTCAACCCTAGTCGGATGATAAATGTAATTTTTGTCTTTCGAAGCATATTTTCTTTAAAAGAAAAAAAAATTCCAAAAATCGAGTTTTGTATTTTTATTCGGTATGAATTAAAAAAAAGAAGAAGAATTATCTCGGAAGTAGAACGCCGAAGCCAAAGTAGCTCCACCCACTTGAAACTCAAACAGCCAAGAAAAAAAAATAGTAAAATACCTTTTTTCCTAGTTTTTATTAAAGAGAAAAATTTTACTGAAATTTTTTACAAATTTTATGATTTTGGTATCAAATTTGTATCCTAACGCAGTTTGATAGATTTACTCAATTAACTTTTTTTTAAAAAAAATCTTCCTACCGCTGTTTATTTATTTCTTAAAATTTTACATTTTACTTCACTGCACGCAATGAAAGTCTGAGCAATGAATAATTACTTTAAGACAATACGATTCCGAATTCATGTTTTCTGTAAACTCGTTTCTACCAAGGCCAAAAATTGGCGATATTCTAATAATTTTTATGCCAAATGTTCATCTGTCTTTCTAGGCCCATATTTTACGAAATTTGCTTTCAGGGGTTATTTTTGCACGGTAAATCGAAAGCAATAAAACATTTGATGTGTTTCTTAAAAAAAAAGTACATTTTTCGTCAAAATAATCATAAAGTTGTAGTCTACTGATATACATAATTTAAGATATTTCTTTCATTTACTACCAAAATTATTAATCTGACCAAACGTTCAAAAGTTATAAGAGTGAACTTTTTTTTTCTGACTGTACATCGTTTTTTTTTTTTTTTTAATTAAGTCATATTTATATCGTACCATAGATATTGATAGAAAAACGACTAGGAAGCGAATATGTTTTATTCCATTTTTTTTCTTCACAAAAGTGCGTTTATTCCTCAGTTGGGTTAAAACAAAAACGGAAAAAATAATGTTTGCTGAGACATTTATACGCATAGGTATTATTTCCTAAACCTTGTAAATTTACACTCAGTTATTAAAAGCAAACTTGAAGCTTCAAAGTATGTATCGTTTTTTTTAAGACTTTATTACACTTTATATGTATTTTTATTTCTCTATTAATTTTTCGCTATTTTTTTCTATTTGAACTACTTAAAAACTAGTACGTGTTCATTGCTACGCATATATATGCATACATTTGCTCAATGTATAACGAATACTTGTTTGGCAAAGTTTCGATAGTTCGATATACCTTGTAAATCTAACCTAAACCTTGTAAATTTACACTCAGTTATTAAAAGCAAACGTGAAGCTTCAACGTATGTATCGTTATTTTTTAAGACTTTATTACACTTTATTTGTATTTTTATTTCTCTATTAATTTTTCGCTATTTTTTTCTATTCAAACTACTTAAAAACTAGTACGTGTTCATTGCTACGCATATCTATGCATACATTTGCTCAATGTATAACGTATACTTGTTTGGCAAAGTTTCGATAGTTCGATTTAGTAGTAAGATATTATTAAGTAGTTGCTTCAGAAATGCATGCTCGATATGTATCATATTATTTTCAGAAATGTATGCTAGGTATGTATCATATTATTTTTAGAATCCTTGTATAAATTAAATTTAAAAAATAATCACTTTACGGGTCGCAAGATTAAACTTAAGAGAGCGACACTTTTGAAATCTAACGAAGAAACGTGAACCAGATAAAAAGGAAAATGTATTTAAGGATCGGACGGAAAAAAAGGGGGGAAATAGAAAGAAAATTTTTAGAAACACTTCCAAGTTTCATACGACAATCAAACAGGTTTTGATATTTCACAGCCCGCTTACCTCACTAATGATTCAACATGAGCCGTAATGACTCAGGCTATAGAGCGTTCGCCTTCCAACGAGAGGAACCGGGTTCGAATCCCAGCGATGCTTGGTCGATACGAATTCCGCATCCGGCTTGCACCAACCACAGTTCTGACGTGAAATATCCTTAGCGGTAGACGGATTATGGGCTAGAGTCCTCTTGCCGTCAGACTAACCGAGGGAGGTTCTGGTGTTGTTCCTTGCTATGTTACGCAAATGCGGGAAGGTTCAACCTGGAAAGTAGAAGTACAACAAGCTATCTTACCCCAAGGTTCGGCTTAGCTCTTACATTTAAACTCAATGTGCGTGATTGCTCTTAAAGAATGAATAAATAGAATTGTCAAACCGTTTTAATAAAAAATGGGTTCCATGTTATTCTTTTTATTAAATCTTATTAGGTGACTCGTGGTGGCTCAGGGAATAGAGCGTTTGCCTCCCAATGAAGTAAACCGAATTTCAGTCCCAGCGATCGCTGGTCGATACGAATTCCGCACCCGACTCGCACCTATCCTAGTATTGACGTAAAATATACTTAGTAGTAGACGGATAGTGATTTGAAGTTCCCTTGCCATCGGACTAACCCTGGGAGGTTTCCGTGCTTTTTCTCTGCATATAAGGCAAATGCGGGTTAGTTCCATCAAAAGTTCACCACGAAGGCAAATTTCTCCTCATACTTGATCCAGGAGTTCCCTTGTTTTCTAGATTGGATTCAAAATGATAAAGCTACGGAGTTGAACATTAGTAGTCGTAAGATCAAAAATTGGATCGGCTGTTCAACGACGGTTATAAAATGAAATGATTCAACATAGTAGCTTCAAAGCTACATCCTTTCTTGCTAGAATATTGGTTTGCAACCCCTTATATGCCACTTGAGAAGGATTCTAAATACATATTCCGAGCAATGATCAAAAAGCATCCTTTTTATTTTTGAGTACCCAAAGAACTTTTAAGAATACTTTTACTATATAAATTCTGAAAATGAAATAGCTCCATCCGAAAATGAAATTCTTCTATAATAACGAGAAACTCTATAATAAAATACATTCTGCAACAATTTTTGAGGATGTCTAACAGAAAAATGAATCGAAATTTGAATAGAAGATTCAAAACTAATGAATAAAGTCTTCGATTTTAAGTGAAACTGTATTCCCAATAGGATAAAAATCCAAATCAGTTTTTTTTTCTCTCTGTATTCTAATATCACAAGTCTAGACGGAGAACCCTTTTCAGTTATTGTTTTGAACGATTTTTTTCCCCCGAAACGGAAGACTTCAGCTAAGAATCTCTAAATTAAAGTATATTACTTACTGTCTGTTTACCGTTGTTAAATACAAACCAGTGAAAAAGTAATTAACTATTACTTTGAAATGAAAAAAAATAATCTCAACCATTTGGGAATTTCTGAAAAATATCATCTGATTTTCCTAAAACGAATATATATTTGTTATCATAAATAGCAATAAATATACCATTATTATTAAATCTTTTTGCAATTTCGACATATTATTATTTTTAGGGATGAAAGCATTTTGTTTGGTTTTCAGATATATTTTGAATAAAAGAATGATTGGATTTGAAGATAAGCGTAATATATATATATATATATATATATATATATATAAATTAATCACAATGAATATAAATTTTTAAAAAAATGGATCACAGGATAAATAGGCCACATAATTTTAGAACTTTAATTTGAAAAGAATGGCAAAGTGTTTATTAAGCCAGACTAAATGCATAAGCATGCAATGAGTGAGTTAGTATTTGCAAAACAATCCTAAAAGCACTTTGAAACAAGTTTGGGTATTGACTAGCCCACCGAGCACGGCAATCAGTTTGTTATTTATTATTGCGAGTAGAAAAAAATCGGATAAAATTATCTCACTTTATGGAATTTCTGATTAAAAAAACTGTAATAATAGTTAATAAAACCAATTAATTTGTTCAATAAATTGCAATCAATCTTATTTATTACTGCGCGTAGAAAAAAATCGGATAAAATTATCTCACTGTATGGAATTTCTGATTAAAAAAACTGTAATAATAGTTAATAATACCAATTAATTTGATCAATAAATTGCAATCAATTTGTTATTTATTACTGCGCGTAGAAAAAAATCGGATAAAATTATCTCACTGTATGGAATTTCTGATTAAAAAAACTGTAATAATAGTTAACAAAACCAATTAATTTGTTCAATAAATTGCAATCAATCTGTTATTTATTACTGCGCGTA